TTTAGAGCAAGAAGGGATACTAGAGATAATCTTTTACTGATAACATCTTCATTTTCACAAGGGATTAAATTGAGGCTCATGAACTAAGTAACTTAACTAACATATAAGCTAGTGGCAGATTCAATATCAAAACTCAGATTTTCGGGAATTCCCTGGTGGTCCAGTGGTTAGGAGCTTCCCTGATAGCTCAGTTGGTAAAGAATCTGCCTGCAATGCATGAGACCCCGGCTCAATTCCTGGATCAGGAAGAGCCCCTGGAGAAGGGATAGGTTACCCACTCCAGTATTCTTGGGGTTCCCTGGTGACTCAGCCTGTAAAAGAATCTGCCTGCAATGCAGCAGACCTGGGTTCAATCCCTGGGTTAGGAAGATCCCTTGGTGGAACAGGTTACCCACTCCAGTATTCTGGCCTAGAGAATTCCAGGGAATGTATAGTCCATGGGGTCCCAATAAGTCAGACACAACTGAGTGACTTTCACTTTCACTTTTTCACTTTCCGGTGGTCAGGACTCTGGGCTTTCACTGCAGGAGGCAAGGGTCTGATCCCTAGTAGGGGAACTAATATCCTGTGAGGCAAGCAGAAGTAACCCATGGCAGGCAGCTTAGATTAGGAGTAGGCCTTCCTACTTCTGGGTGGTAAGATTATCAGGCCACCTGGATACAACCAATTAGCTTTCGCTTAACACTGACCACTGTTTGCCAATTAGGAAATTAGGAATGAGGCGGAAACCCCAGGGAAAGTCCCGCGTGCGTGAGAGTTTTGACCAATGAAATTGCTTTGCAAACGCGTAACCAATCCGCTTAAACCAACTACCAACGGCGTGTGCTCACCCTATAAATTTGTGGAACAGCTTGGGCTCAGGGCTCTCTGACCCGCACCACTGCGTTGGATGCGGCAGGAGCTCTGACTCGAGTCAGCAATAAACTTCCCTTTTTGCGAGTTGCATTGTCTTGGAAGCCTTCTCTCTTCCCGCTCGGGGATTCGGACATCGGGCATAACAATCCCACAAGACGAATAGTGAGGCTTGGCAAAAAAAAGAAAAAAGAAAAAAAACACCCAAACCAAAAACAAACAAAACTTCAGGTTTTCTAGGTAGCAAGATCTAAAGTTGTCCTGCCCAATACTATAGTTACTAGCGAAATCTAATTATTTATATTTAAGCTGATTAAAATTAAATACAACTTAAAATTTAGGTCCTCAGGCACAACAATCACATTTTAAGTGTTTGCTCTGTGCCACACACAGTTAATGGCTACCACATCTGACAGTGCAGAATAAGAATTCTGCCACCACTGCAGAAAGTTTAACTGGACAACATGATCTAAAGAATAAGCTTCAGAATCAGACAAACCTAGTCAAGTTCTACTTACTAGCAGTATGATCCTTGACAAGTTATTCATGCTCCCATTTGGAAGAGGGGAGGAGAAGTAGGGGATTAATAATCCCTACCTCACAAAATATATTTGATGCTTATGTGGGATAACATGAAAAGCCCCTTCTGGCATGTAACAGACAATAAACATGTCCCTTCTGGATCCTTTTTCCTTTATATTCCTCTATAAAAACCTCCTTGTTAAGAGATACAATAACTCATAACACACCCAAATTAATATCTTTTCCACAAGATAGTCCACAGTGCCTAATTTTCATTCTGTTCCCCTCAATTCCTTCAGATACTTGCACCTCTCTTCCAGTATTTCTGCTTAGGAATAATGAAGAATGAATGTGGGGGAATCACCTCTAATGAAATGGAGGAGAATGTAATAAATTTCCCTTCTAGTTTCCCATTCCATTTTAAATATGACTGTACTGACTGACTACGCAATGAAAAAGAAATTATATTCCTCATAGGTACCATACTTCCGCATTAAGAGAAGATTCTACAATACTTCTTCACTATATTCTTTCTCACCATCTGTGCTAATCAAATATTAAATGAAGAAATAACACCTTCCTCCTACAGTACTTTTCTGGCAAACAATAAAAAGATTTCCAGAGTACTAAACCAATCTTCAAGGCTTCACAGCTTAACATAGTAAACTAATTTGACAAATCTAGACTACTGAATATAAAAAACTTCATAACATGCATGTTATTACCCAGAAAAACAACAAAATTCGACTCAGCTTGGAATCAGTGAATTTCTGCCAATACTAAATTTTATTTAGAAGCAACAAATCATACTTAGCCACATTAAGTCACACAGACTTGCCATTTCTAGTGAGGTCTCCAACTTTACATTTTGAATAACTAACAATTAAAGGACATCTTTAAAACATGTCTTTAAACATCCACCAAACAAGGTTTCTACATATTTTTAAAGCTTCCTTAAAAAAAAAAAAAAAAGCTTCCTTATTGTTTAAAACTGACCATATTAATCCAGGGATGCGGGAGGAGAGGAGGGAGTCCTCTCAGTAACAGTAACAATGTCTCCTTGAAATTATCTGTCATTCTTACTTTGTTCCTCAAAGATAATTTACTTAAAAACATGACCACTGACGCATCCACCCTTAAGGAGCTCAGAATAAATCATAAGTAAATACTAAACAGATAACATTGCACACTATACTATCACACAAATTATGTTTAGTAGGCGAAATTAAAATATTAGTATCTCAAATACACAAATCAGAGTTTAATAAGTCTATGGGAGTCGCGTAAATTTTAAAAAAAGCACTGTAAAAAGTTTTCATTACTATCCCACATGAAGTACTTTATATTAATACATTAAACTTAGGCTTCTATGCCTGAACTGACGAAATCTAATCGTGAGAGTCTATACTGTTTTAAGCCCTTCTGTAATAATGAAGTGTACATTGGTCACAGTAGAATAGTTCAAAAGAATTTTCCTGAGGCTGCATTCTAAGTACATCTGACCCAGAAAGTATTTTTAGCAAGTGTGTTCAATCAATGCTGGTTTATGCCTAGTCTAAATTAGAAATTGGGTGTCACAAATTTAAAGTAACAAAGTTACTAGGGATATTTTAAAAGATATTCAGTTAGAAAATCGAGAAAACCACAAAGTTTAAACAATTCAATACCCACAGCCTATAATCTAAGCAGGTTCTAGAAAAACAGGCAATAAGAAAGCCAATCTTCATCCATAACTACTTTTGAGGAACCTGATTTTCTAACTTTAACCTACTCAATATTAATAAAACTGCAAAGCAGTGATGGCTCCCTGTTTTCAAAATCTCTTGCCAAATGTTTAAAATAGGCTAGCTAAGTCACAAACACTCCCATATACAAAAATAAGATCACCAGTCTCTTCTTAAAAATCACTCAAGATCATGACATTGTGGGACCACGCACATGTTTCAAAGAAAAGAGATGACAAAGATATGTGTGCCATTAAAAAAAGAGAGAGAAAGAGACATAAAAATAGCTTCTGTGGTAATTGGAGCATAAATTTATTCTGAGAAAAAATGGTGGGATCCACAAAATGATTGCGTTCTTCTACTATGAGTTAGTAAAGAAGCTCTGTAGAGAAAAACTTTTGCTTACAAAAAGCCTTTAAAAAAAAAAAAACTATAGGCTGAATTTCTCAAATTCAAGATTTAACTGATGTACTATCTAGCTCTATTCCATTAAGCATATTTTGGGCTCTGAACAATCATTTATTTTAAGGTCATCTCCTTCCCCCTTAAAAAATGTTATTTTTCCCCCTCTGGCAACAAGGGTTAAGGTTCAAAAAAATCAGGATAAAAAAATGCCCTGGCCTAACAGTTCCACAGTCTTCTTTACAAGTCGGATACTTTGGCGTTTTGATTTTTTTCTCCATAAACATGGTTTAAACTATAATGTTTCAACTGGGCCCAAGATTTGGTTACATAAACCGAATATTACTCCAATCTCTGATTCTAACAGTAGCTGGTATATTGCAGATACACAGACTGTCCTAGAAAAAGCGCCTGAAAAACCTTACCCATACACATTGTCCTCCGCTGTGGTTCATTGTATAATGCCTCCCAGGCATAAAGTCTCCCATTCTAAGTTTCCCAGAACCATCCGTGCGTACGTACAGGCCACTGTAAACTACTCCATGTTAAGGAAACCCTGGGAAGCGCATCCGTCTGTCTATTTTGCTACACCTCAACTTTTTCTTTTGGCTCCACTACAGGTTCCTAAACACAAGCATGCAAAGGCAGAATCATAAAAGGCTTAAAACTTCAAGGGTAGGATAGTATGCCCAAGCAGCAAGTAGGAAGCTTTCAAAGGAGCCAATTTTTTTTTTTTTTAAGGAATCCTATCAGCAATGGAAAACTCTGAAGATTCTAAAACCTCACCTAGAGTTTAGGGGCCATGGAACATTCCATCTCCGCACCTATTCCATCCGTTCTCCCCTGACTCCCCCAGAACAGAGATTCCAACTAAAACACCAGGAGGTTGAGAGCAGGGGTCCCGCAAAGAAAGGGAGTAGGCAAAAAGCATCCTTCCCCCTTGACTTGAAATCAGCCTCATGCCTTCGGCCGGCCCCACCTGGCGGGCCGCAGGTAGCAGCCTCGCGTGCCACGCAGGGCTGAGAGGCGGCCGGGACCCGGAGCCTCTTACCTTCGAGTCCCAGCCGCGTCCTCCGGGCTGGAGAAGAAAAGGCTGGAGGCTCGGCCGCGCCGCCTCCGGGGCTCCGTCAGCGTCCGCCCAGCAGCCGGCGCCGCAGCGGCCGCGCCACGGCCCCGAGCCGCCGGCACCACCTCATACTGCGGGGCTGCCGCGCGCTCCCGTACCTCCCTGCGGGGATGAGCTAATCCAGCCCCGCAGCGATGTCGCGGGGGTGGGGGCCCCGAAGCGGGGCCCAGAATCCAGCCCCGGGGACCCTGGAGTCCTGAGAGAACAATGTGGGGCCGCGAGGAGGAGGAGCGGAACGGCGTGGCTACAGCGAGCGGGCGCAATCCTAAGCAGCGTTTGTGTGCGAGAGTGCAATGGGCGCTCAGTCCCTCCCGCCGCCGCCGCCGCCGCCGCCTCCCCTTCCTCCTCCTCCTCCTCCGTCTCCTCCTCCTCCCTCAAGCACACCCCGTCTCCCAGGCCACCGCATAGCAACCGAACATGGCGGCTGCGCAGACGCCGCCAGTCAGCCGCTCGGAGCGGCGGCCGCGGCCACGGGAGACGATCTCGCGAGAGGTGAGGCCGAGCCCCGCTCCCCGCCGGCGCGCTGGAAGCGGCCCCACCAGCCTGAGCGCGGGGGACGCGCAGGTGCGAGGGAGGAGGGACCTGGGCGAGTGGGAGGGGCTAGGGCGGGCGGGGCGCCGTGGCTCCACGGCGATTGGTTACTGAACCTGGGACCCTTCCCCCCGCAGGACCTAGAGACTTGAGGGAGCCGATGGAGGGGGAAAAAAAACCTCAGTTTAAAGTGGAAACCCAGACCTTTTGGCCCCAGGTTGTCCCAACTTCAGTGCTGAAAAAGGATACAGGTTTTAGGGTGCGGATTTGAATGATTTCCTCTCCTAAATATAGACCCTGAGACAAAGAACGTTCATTTATAGCGTTTGAGTGCCTCTGTGTGCCAGGAACGGTGTGCTGTTAAATATGAAATTAATTCATGCTAACCAAGTGTATGAATCGGTTATTACCACGCCGGGGTTTTTAACCAGGTGATTCTAAAATCTTATTGATGATACAAACTTACTGGAGGTGAGACAAATGCCTGTGGGCTGGATAATAGTGAAAATGATAGCGGGAGGAATTTTTGCATTCATTTTTGTCAGAGTCCTCTTCTGTCGTCAGACACCTTCTTGCTCTTCCTCGCTCTTAGCCTCAGCACCCCATCAGGGCTGTCCTTCATGAAACATTCTTTCAAAAATCACTTTCCCTCCAACCCGATAAAGTCCTATTTACTAATCAGGGATGGTTTTTGCAAGCTGAAACCTTGCAGATCTGTATAGATCTGTGAAATCTGCAGCTTCTAGGGACTCTCTTCTCCCTCTCACCTGGCTCAGTTTTTCCGTTTTAAAAAGACAAACCATCAGTCCATGTTGTTCTGACTTTCCTTCCCACAGCTTGGTTCCAGCCAGGTTCCTTCCTCCTTCCCAGACAGGTTCTCCGGCCTCTGTGTCTCTGTTGTCTGTGCCTTTATTCATACTGTTCCCTCCACTGAAATGCTCTTCCCTTCACGTCCATCCTGTCTACACTCAGTCTTCCTCCAACAATGGATCTTACTTATACCGGAAGTAAGAATTTCTTCCTCTTTGACGTGATACTTCTAGGTTTATACCTCCCTTATCTTACAGTGTTCTTTTTATTATAGGATACTATCCCTGTGCGGGTTTTATCGCCACTATTCTTGGGGAGCTACTGGAGTCAAGGATCTTGTCTTGGTCATCTTTGTATCCCCTCTGATGCCAGGTGACAGTGACATTGCCCGGTGTCAAAAAAGTTTGTTAAGAGAATGAAATGCTTAAATCTTTTAATTGGTGGGACTTGGAGAAGGTACTTGAGACAGACTGGTCTCTTACTCAGGTTCAAACCTGGTAAACTGCTGTGTCTCTGAGTGACACTCATCTGATCTGAATTTGTGTTTATTGATGTCCTGTAGAGCTTTGTAACTAGTCCTTCAACTAACCTTCATATCTCCAGACCTTCTCCCTCAGCCCATTCTGCCTACCCTCATCCATAAAGCACAGTGACCTTCTATACAAACAGAAATCTTGATTGTAATATAAGTATAACTGGAGTCTCAAGATTGGAGAGGCAGAAGGGGGATGCCCTTTGTTTTGGAAAACGCCACAGGATGAGTCCTTTAGGTAAATGGACTATCTATCTACTATTCTTTAGGAAAACTGTGAAGTCACTTTTTAAAAATTGAGTTATATTTCACATACTACAGTGCTTTTTGGTATATTTGCAAGGTTGTACAGCCATCACCCCTACCTAATTCTGGAATATTTTCATCACCCCAAAATGAAATCCCATACCTATTAGCAGTCACTCCTCATTCCCTCCTCCCCTAGCCCCTGACAACCACTAATCTACTTTCTGCCTCTAGGTATTCACCTACTCTGGGCATTTCATATACTTTGAATCATACCATCTGCAAATTCTCTATCAAAATGGATAAATGTTTGTTTTTATTTAAATTATAATCTTTAAAAAAAATTAATCGATGCCTATTCTGGATCATTTTGATGACCACCTTGTCATCAAATGCTGGCATTTGGTTTTGTATTTGGCACCAAGAATTATAACTTGCATTTTCTTGAGCTAATGATAAAAAAATAGAATACTCTTTGTAGACACGACAGCCTAACTAGGAGATGGTCGAGTGTCCTCATGGTTCAGTTCAGTTCAGTTCAGTTGCTCAGTTGTGTCCAACTCTTTGCGACCCCATGGACTGCAACACGCCAAGCCTCCCTGTCCATCATTAGTGCCCAGAGTTTACTCAAACTCATGTCCATCAAGTCGGTGATGCTATCCAACCATCTTATCCTCTGTCGTCCCGTTCTCCTCCCGTCTTCAATCTTTCCCAACAACAGGGTCTTTTCCAATGAGTCAGTTCTTTGCATCAGGTGGCCAAAGTATTGGAGTTTCAGCTTTAGCATCAGTCTTTCCAATGAATATTCAGGACTGACTTCCTTTAGGATTGACTGGTTGGATCTCCTTGCAGTCCAAGGGACTCTCAGAAGTCTTCTCCAACACTACAGTTCAAAAGCCTCAATTCTTTGGCATTCAGCTTTCTTTATAGTCCAACTCTCACATCCATACATGACTACTGGAAAAACCATAGCTTTGACTAGATGGACCTTTGTTGACAAAGTAATGTCTCTGCTTTTTAATATGCTGTCTAGGTTGGTCACAAGTTTTCTTCCAAGGAGCAAGTATCTTTTAATTTCATGGCTTCAGTCACCATCTGCAGTGATTTTGGAGCCCAAAAAATAGTCTCTCACTGTTTTCACTGTTTTCCCATCTATCTGCATGAAGTGATGGGACCGGATGCCATGATCTTAGTTTTCTGAATGTTGAGTTTTAAGCCAACTTTTTCACTGTCCTCTTTCACTTTCATCAAGAGGCTCTTTAGTTTCTCTTTGCTTTCTGCCATAAGGGTGGTGTCATCTGCATATCTGAGGTTATTGATACTCCTCATGGTACACTGTGCAAAAGTTTCACAGATATTCAAATAGAGAAGAATTTTGGAATGATTAAGTCACTTATAAGCATGTCTAAAAAAGCCAATACCAGTGGGGCAGAAGGATGAATTAGGAGGTGGGGATTAACACATACACACTACTATACATAAAACAGATAAACAACAAGGTCCTACTGTAAGGCACAAGGAACTCTACTCAATACTCTATAATAACCTCTATGGGAAAAGAACCTGAAAAGGGTATGCAAATATGTATAACTAAACCAGTTTGCTGTATACCTGAAACTAATACAACATTGTAAATCAACTATATTTCAGTATAAAAATTAAAAAAAAATAGACACTACCACAGCAGTGAGTTTCATAGTCTCATCACACACACAAAAATTTAATTTCAGCAAAACATCATTTACATTACATACTTAACATTAATTGAATTTTTAACTTTATTAATCAAATGTTCAAAATTGTCATTTTATAGATGTAGAAGGGCTATGAGAATAAGGGCTTTATACCTAAACTTATGTTTACACAAAACAAAGAAACATAATCTAAATAATTTAATACTACATTGAGAGTTAGCAAGATGGTTTTTTTTCAGTTCAAAGTGGCAGCAAACATTCCTAGATATTGGCAGACAATGCTGTTGACTGTGACTTTTCCCCTTTGTCTGTGCCTGCTCTTGGCTGTGCTTTGGGAGTGAGGAGCAAGGGTTGTGTCCACACTGGAGAATGTTGGCAGAAAGGACTGGCCTCTCACTGTGTGACTGACTCCCAACCCCCGGTAGCTATAGCCAGAATGGAAAAGGCATCCGTTCTAGCTTGTGCAGCCAAGCCAGGCTGCCTGGGCTGTGGCAGTGACCTCTGGCAGCTGCCAGGCAGCAGAGGAGGAGTTTTGATCAGGCCCTGTGGCCAACTCACCAGCCACTGTCTCCCCCCACCCCAGCCTCCCCATCAACTTGGGAGGACCCCTTTGGAAGAATGATAAACTCTTGGGTCACTGGGGATTTCTGAGGAAGACAACCCCACGGAAAGCTGGACTCGGCTTGCTGGGTGGAACTCAGAGTGGTATGAATTTTAACATTAAAAACATGTGACTTAAAGTGACCCGGTTTTGTCACCTAAGCTGGTGAGGTGGGTCATACAAGGAAAACAGGGTTTCAAACACCTGATCTCTGACATGTGACCTTAACTGGATATCTGTCTGCCTTAGCTGGACAATTTCATTCTTTCATCTGTCTGGAATCTTCAGACATAACTTGAAGCAAAGCAAAAACAAGACAAACAAATTTAGACTTAAACCTTTGAAGTGTCATACGTTTTCCCGGGAAGTTTAGAATTCGATGGCTTGGGCTTGCTTTAGCCGTGGAGCTCCTTTGCAGCTCAGGGTTCTGTGACCAGCTAGATGGGTGCTATGAGGGGTAGGGGTGGGGCAGTGGGAGGAAAGTTCAAGAGGGAGGGGATATAAGTGTGCACATCGCTGATTCACTTTGCTGTACAGCAGAAACTAACACAATATTGTGAAGCAATTATACTCCAGTAAAAAGAAAAAGAAAAAAAAAACAACCATAGAGCTCCTTTAAATGTACTTTTTAAAAATAGGTATTTATTTTTAAAAATTATATAACATGTATCTCTAAGGCAGGTGACCCAGATTGGTCACTCTTTAGATATAACCTGCTTCCTCTTCACTTGCCAGCAATTCTTTCTTATTCTTTCTTTTCTTCTTTCTTCCCTCCTTTCCTTCCTTCCTTTCTTTTTTCCTGCTTTCTTTCTCAATCTCTCTTTTCCCTCCTTCCTTCCTTCTTCCCCTTCTCTTTCTTTCTTCTTTCTCCCTCCCTTCCTATAGCAGAAAAAGATTCATGTTAGCAATCCTTGGGATCAAGAACTATACAGAAAAATGTAAAATTTTAAAAATCAAAGACTTCCTCCTACTCCCAGCTCCAGCATCCAAAGGTAAGCAGTATTCACAGCTTCTTGTGTGTGCTTCCAGAATTTTCTCTGCATCTGTAAGCTTAATCAATATCTTTTCCCCCTAACTACAATCAATGTCTTTTTTCCATACTTGCTCTATGAAGAACCTATTGATGGGTATATGTCATTCTTTCTAAGGGCTGCATCATAGTGTATTT